AGCTTTATTTTGTTAAATATAAAAAATAAATCATTTTTCAAATTAATATAATTTATCATTTAAGAGATAATGACCAGATACATTATTGTTTTACTAATGGTAACAAGTTAAGATTGAAACATATTAACTATTGTTTAAAATTTATTTGTATATTATTGACACTCATGATTATATTTTTTCATTTTTTTATTTTGATTTATCTCTATAATTAAATTATTGTAAAATTTATTTTCATTATTGAGTATGATAAATAAACCGTAAATCCTTATAATGCGAATTAGAAAATTCTTGATCATAGAGTGATCGAGTTTTTGGCATTTTCTAAATCAAAATTGTTTAATTAGTATACAAAATTAAATTCTAAAAAAGCATGTGTATATTTTGTAAAATATTTATACACTATTTAATATTAAATTTATTTACATATTTTACATCGATTACATAAATAAATAATACAAACGTGCATTAAATATTTTTCATTACATAAAATAAAAATAAAAAGAAGACGTACAACTTCTATAATTTTATAAATAATAATGACATTATATGACAAAAAAGTGTATAATAAAATAATAATTAAGTATTATGGTGAACAAAAATAAGTAAAATTGTTATTCTCTCTTATATCAACGAATAAATATATATTATATCTTAGTGAAATAATATATTAATTATTTTAATATTTTGACTAAAAAAATAACGTTTTTTTAAAGAAGTGCAAATTATTTTATAACCTTATTGTTTATTATACTTAATGCAGATTAAAAGAGATGAAAAATAGATGATAATACTATTACTATATATACTTAAACGACAAAGTATGTGAAAATAACTTATTTAATATTTCTGTCTCGTGCATCGCACGGGGTACATACTAGTATTTCAATCAAAGAAAAGTTTTCAGTAGATTCATACACCAAAAAAATAAAATAAAATAAAAAAGGTGAAAAATGGATAACGTTTAAGCATATATTTCAAGATTAGGTAACCACTAATAAAAAAATGAGAATAAGAATAATAATAGTAATAATGCTTAATGAATGAAAAATAGATACTGTTTTAGGCATGTTACATATTATATATAGTCCCACTTGGTTGCAACTTGAAAAAAAAAAAACCGGGGCGTATTGTAGTTATATTTATTAACAGAAGTTCAATACAAAGGGATCCGTGGCGCAATGGTAGCGCGTCTGACTCCAGATCAGAAGGTTGCGTGTTCGATTCACGTCGGGTTCAAAACCCCCGAACCTCATATCCCTCTACTTTTTTCCCTTTATTTTATTTTAGCAATTTTCCCTTTATTTTATTTTATTTTAGCAATTTTCCCTTTATTTTATTTTATTTTAGCAATTTTCCCTTTATTTTATTTTATTTTAGCAATTCCCAAATCAGAGATAAATTGATTGAATAATTTAGATATATATTAGGAGTGGCCAGGGACATTTCAAAAGCAAAATTCTGGCAAAATGTCAATAAAGATTGATACAGATAAAAAAGCCGCTACAATCTTCATTAGAAACGTATACTTAAAAGAGACGAGCACCACACTTCACACCAACACCAAAAACATCAGAATTTACAAATGAAATGAACAAGCTCCCACATGATATATATACATATACATTTCTGTCATCTGTTTGATCCAACAAGCAACACAACAACACACTTTCGACATCATCTTTTGTCCTCAAAATCTGTTGGAAGTTCCTTGATCACGCAGCAAGTACTATAATCACTATCAGGAGAACTATGCCGAAGATCACAAGTAGTAAGCACGTCTGCAGAAAGGAGAGAAAGTAAAAATACGATAAATCCAAGTAAAATGGCAATATATTAATCATTAACTCACCAGAGATGCATAATAATAGTGTACATTGGCAATATATCCTAACATTGTTAGAGCTAAAGTTCCGTTGGCTCTGAATTTGCATATAACCTGTACTGCATTTTGTTGGACATACGCTGAAATACCTAATAACTCACCAGAGATGAATTTGACCGCTGGGTTTTAGCTGCTTTGACCAACTGAGATTTTCCCTGAGCAGTTGCAGCGTGAGCGCCCTCAATATTGGAGCCAATGTCATCTATGAAGAGAAACCAGATCTCTTGTGTTAAATTTCTTTGACTGGTGCATTCAAATTTACTAAAGTGTAAATAATTTACCTATCATAGTTCCTTGCTCGTGAACAAGTACAGCAAGATCCTTGAAAATCTCATTCACTTCACCAATTTGTTGTTGTATCTCTTGTATTCCCTGCTCTCGTTCTTCTATAACGGCCTCATTGAAGGCAATCTCATTGTCCAGTAGCAAAACCTCCTGTCTGTAAAGTAAGCACTTGAAAAATAAGCAGACAACTTTACGAAATTCAATAGAAAACAAACTTCCAAGTTCCAGCAAATGAGCAAAGTCGCTTACATGTCACTTCATCACAACAAGGTGTCATACATAGAACTTAGGAGATTTATAGGACTTGGAGTTTTTATAATAATTAATACTATCAATCAGTACTAATGATGTTGCTGCTGCTGCTGCTAACATTGTTATTGTAATTGCTATTGTTGTTGTTATTAACATCACAGTGCAAAATTTCTGCTGCAGATGACTTATCATGCAATCACTGAATGTGTACGTTCATAAACTGTAGAGTGACAAAGAAGAGATGAAATTTTGTTCATATCCTTTAAAATGTACCCCGTACTTAAATAATATAAAGATTTTTAATTCAAAGTTTTTATTTGTCACATTCAACAAAGAGGTTGCTTTTGTCGACAAAGAAAATAACTATCAACACAAAGGCATTTTTTAAAGAAAATGCTAAACAATAACGCAGAGAAAATTATATTGTTCTACACTGGTGATGTGCATTACAGAGAAGGTATACACAAGTTGATAGAGGTTATACATGTAAGTAAATACCATCAAATATAAAATATAAGGATCCCATAAGTTAAGATAAATGGAACTCCACATCACATGCCTTCTAGATTCAACAAGAAGTGCGCGCTGTTCTGGAGTCTTATCTGAACTTGCATCTATTTCTCCAGCTGTGTAGCTGCAGGACATAATTACTTCAAGATGTAAGCTGCAGCCTAAGAAAAATTATAAAGCTCATTTTTCACCCAATCTGCAAATATCGCACTATGAAAGCTCCAAACGGACCCCAACCTTTTAAACTCAAAACAAGAGCATCTCAATCAATGTTACCTAGAGGGAAGTACTGCTTGAGGGGAAAAAGGAGTATACAATGTCTCCCTCTCAGCAGCGATCCGCTGTGCCTTCTGGAACTCCTTTAGAACCAATTGAAAATCTTTTGCGAGTTTAGCATCCGTTATTTTCTTGTTTGTCTGCACGCAGCAAGATAGCACTTTTAGTCACACGGCATAAGTTTTACAGCTTGGTGAGAAGATTAAGCTGATTGAAAAGTGTAGACTTAATTGCTTCATCTTGCTGATATAGTTGATTTATTTCCTCATAATATTGATTTGGCAAAATTTAATGAAATAGGTTAGTTTGTATATCCCTTTTACTAACGATTGATTAGTAATTTTTTAAGCATAGTCCTAATAAATGTGTTGTGCTGAGGTCTTTTACTTGCATATCTATATATATATATAAACAGATTTCCCATTTTTTAAGAATAGTAAGTCAATTTCTGGTCAACACTCTTTCTGCATTTATTGCTTTCTTTAATAGAAACTTTTATTTTGGAAAAATTTCAAAAATGTGATAAGATTTTTTTTTGGAAACAATTCAAATATGTGATAAGATATTTTTTTAGATAGAATACATCAACAAAATCTCCTATAGCAAGTTTTTATTTTATTTTTTTATTTACAAACATGCATCATTAATTATTGCATTTAAATGTGGAGTTTGTTAAGTGGAGTTTGTTATTTATTTTTGTGTAAGATTAGATAGTTCCTTTTTTATTTTCACAAATTAAAAAAAAAAAAAAATCTTTCTTTAACATATAATCGTGTACCACATTGCAAATTTTATTTTATTAAAAAAAAATTACGCCTAATTTAATAATATAAAATAAACTTACGTTAGTGTTTACAAAAAATTAGAAACTCTTTTTAACATCAACTCGGCTACTACAATTGTTTTAATCGGATGCTTTTATTTTTCTAAAAAAATAAATTACAATTCATTTATTTTGTGGATTTGGTAAATTACAGTTCATTTAAACCCCTAAAAGATAAATTGGTGGATTTGGTTCCATTAAGTTCTAAAAATTTCGGTTGTTGAATATAATTTGAAATTCAAAATCATTTCTCATATTTGATTTAAAGTTCAATTGTATTTTGTATTCCAAACAATCAGATTGCCGAAAAGATTACCTTAAAAAATTAAAGAGATGAATTTCAAATCAATCGAAATTCATCTCTTTAATTTTTTCCATAAGTTTCAAAATTTTACAATAATTAAGTCAAATTACAAATGTATTGTTTGAAAAATCAAGAGGATAATTTTAAAAATAGACAAATTCTTTTTTTTTTTCAAAATTGTCTTAGTCTCCATTCAATATATAGTAAATTCTATTTTATTTATAAAATTGATAAATCTGCATAAAGCGTGGAATTTTATGCGTACAAAATTTCTTTTTTTACAGTAACTAAAAAAAATAATAATTTTAAAATCTTTTGTACTCAAATTATTTAAAAGAATAATAATAATAATATTTACAATAACTAAAAAATAATAATAATTTTCAAATCTTCTGTACTCAAATTATTTAAAAGAATAATAATAATAATTTTGAAATCTTTTATACTCAAATTACTCAGAAGAATAATAATAATAATTTTGAAATCATCTATACTCAAATTTTCAGGTACGATAGTATTGTCATAATTTTCAGCATCATGTCAATATTTATTTTATATATACTAGGTAAATTTTCTTTCAAACTTTATAAGGTACTTATTTAGGCTTATAATATTTTAGATACTTTTATACAATATTTTATCATGTCGTATTCAAAAAAACATCTTTCATACAAATGTAAACTTTTTAATGTTTTTAGATATTTTTTCTTTACAAAAAAATTTAAAAAGTTTTATGCGACTTCACATCTTTTAATAATAATATAGAAAAATTTAGATAATTTATATATGTTAATATAATATTTAGGAGTTTTAATTGTTTAAACATACAAATTTTATGTTCTCTTGAACAAGCTAATTTTATATCGTTTATAATAAACTGATATACCGTAAATTATATGACATGTTAACCCCACACCGTTAATTTATAATTATTAAATAATATAGTTTACCCTCATCTTTAATTTATAATATCTTTCTTGCTCTTTTAAGAGAAGATCATTCTCCACTTCTTTCATTGGGTGACTCGAACTCGATACTTATTTATAATTATTATTTAATATTGTTCACCCGTGCATCGCACGGGATACGCACTAGTTTGAAATAAAATACTCTCTCAAGTTAAGACATCCATAAAAAACAACAGAAGGCAGCAAAGTAGCACTCCAATTACTTTTGTTTCAAGGAAACAAGAAACATACCAATCAAACTCCGGCAGTAATGGAAGAAAATAAACAGGGAGAAGGGACCGAACATGAAAGTGCCACATTATCATAAACAACCAAGCGAACTTACACTGACTTCAGCATGATGATCTGTTTCACTAGCTTGCTTAAGTTTAGCTGAGGTATCCTTAACCAACTGTCCTATATGTAGCCGAGTTTTATGCCTGCGGTTGAGCAAAACCAGCTTCAGAATCGCCAAAACATTTTCCGTTAAACTAAACTATGAACAAAGATGCACTTAGAGATCCCATGAAATCTTAGGAGATCAATGACATCCTCAAAGAGCTTCGACAACTGATATTAGTGTATTATATAGAAAATATCTCTTTGTTCTCTTATTTATCACCATCAATGACTTCCACGTAGCAGTAAATGCATCACTAATGGTCATAGCAAAAACTCACTAAAAGGTCCTGCAACTGTAAACTGCCATGAACAGTAAAGCTAACCATTTGATGTTAGAAGTCGACGCAAATTTAAAACAATCAAACGTTGGGAAATTTAAAACTTTGGGCGAAATCAAAGTAATAACATTGAAGGAACACAATGGAAACAACACAAAATTTATCTCTCCCAGTTTTGACTGTTGCAGCAGAGCAGTAGTAGGTGCCCACTAGAGGTAGCCCACCAAAGTTCCTCGAATGCACAAGTCTTTCGGAGTCAAAAGGGAAGGAATATATCGGAGGCATGTTAAGCTGATGGCCAGGAAAGGCAATGTAAGTTACATAGGAGGGCAAAAACAGACCAGCACAAGCTAAAAAACCTTCTTTAGTTGCAACACTAAAGTTGGGTATGTAAAATCTTCAAGCATTGAAGCTCAATCCCAAGTGAAAAGAGTTGAGTTGGAATGAAAATTGGCGTAGGCCAGTCCCAGATGTATCCAGGATTAGGAAGGGCTTCAACATACTAGTTTTAAATATCCCCCATACATACACCTAGCAATTACTAAAGTAGTCCGGGGAAGTAACTAGAAGAGCAACCATAAAGGCTCTCATTTGAGCATTCAACAAATTGATCAATTATGCAAAGCACTAGAGACGAACAAAAGGATATTTGATCCTCATGCAAATACAGCAGGTGGGATAAAAGAAACCATAAGATATACTTTATGAAGGATATAATCTCATTTGCACAAGTGAGGAGGGCTAAGTACGCTATCGTCTTCCATCATCGGAAACATGTGATTAAAAAAAAATGATTACAACACACCCCCCCCAAAAAAAAAGATGAACTACAGTATGTCTGCCCTGGAACAGCTCGAGCGTGGATCATAGTAATTTAAGCTAAATCATCAAGTTTTATTCACATAACACTAAGTTGACCCCGAGTTTTCAGCTCCTCCAACTATTGACATCAACTCATCAAATCATGCATAATGCACAAAGTTACCCTCTATCCGCTCCATAAGGAGCAATGGGTCCAAAAACCGCACGTCAGTGACAAGTTCGCTCACTGAAGACTAATAATTCACAATGACAACCACCAAAGATCAACAGAATTCCACTTCATGATCCAAAAAAAAAAACATAGATTGGCTTAAAGCCCATGATAGTGGAAACTAACAGCTTTTCACGGAGCTCAGGCGTGTCCTTGGGCGTCCCGAGGGCGTTGACGAGGCGCTGGAAAGTGGAAACCGCCGTGGTGATCTGAAATATGCCGGAGGCCACCGCCTGGGTCGGGTCCTGCTTTCCATTTACAAACCCCCTCCGGGATCCGGCTCCTCTACCCGCTTCAAGATCCTGAAAACTCATGAATTCTGTATGATTTTTTCTTCGTCAAAACCCTAAAAGCAAACACCCCGAAAAAGAGTGTTCTGCCTAACGAACCGCCGATAAAAGAGAAACTCAAACAGGGTACAATATGCTATTTCTGCGGCGGCGGCGGCGGGTTGGGGCACAACTACGGCAGAGAATTCGGGGAAATGAAGAAACTTGGTCGGGAAATTTGGAGAATTTGGTGGAGGAGAGAAAAAGAAAATATTCAGTTCAGTTCAAAATGAAGAAGACAGAACAGCTACAGTGGAGAACAGGTTTTTAATTTCTTTTCATTTCTCATTTTTTATATTATCTACTAGGAAACTCACGCTGTGCACAGCACAGCCGGCCCATTTTTGGGCTAATTAAATTGTTGTATAAATGCGATTATGATTGAATAACATTTGGGTATAACATATGCATACAAAAGATTGCAATTAAAGTTTAACAGCGCTAAGTACAAAATATATAGTAATATTATCAATTGATGTCAAAAGATGTTCAAATTCAGTACTGTTAATTACAAAAGATACCAAAAGGATTAGGGGTCTGCCTAATCTGCCATGGATAATAGTTTGCACACAGAATTTTAAACATCTATATATATAGATGATTCAAAATTATGTGCAACAAATAAACAAAATATAAATATCAGCTTATACAAAGCAGATCTGTGGATCCAAAAGTAAGTTGTAACAGTCTTGTTCATTCAAAAGTTGTTCAAAAGTGGTAGCCATAACAATTAAGATGGCACAGTGATGGTCTACTGTGGACCAACAGCGGGGCGGGCCTTTTTTTGAGGGCTTGAATTTGTTGCTGTTGAAGTTTGTGGTGTGTTGTCATCAGTTGTTGGCTCAGATTTTGGCGAGGTGGTTTTGGATGTTTGTGTCGTGCTTGGCTCTGTTTCAAAGATGTGGCGTTTTTTGGATGTTGAGGCCGAAGTCCCTGGGTTGATGCTAAAGAATTGTTTTTCCACAACCTGTTACAGTATAGACAATGAGTGATAAATGTTAAGACAGAAATTGTTTTAACATATAACTTATTTTGTTTTTTTATTGAACTACCTTTGTTGACACTGAGGGAGCTTTATTTTTTTCAACTGACTTGGATATAGTTGCATATTTTAGGGCAGCGATGTCATCATCTGTGTAGAGTTTCAGAACAGTGTGGTAATCTGCTTGATAGTGCTTGATGAAACAAATGACATTGTGTTGTTTCACTGAGTCTGCAATTTGGATGGTTAAATCCTTTCCCTGTGGCAGCGAAGATAAATTAAAATTTACTTGGGAACTGAACATTGGAATAGAAATAAGTGTGATTTAAAATATTTATAAAAGAGAATATGAAGCTTATTTACTGACCTCTTCATCTGCTTTATATAACTGATAGCCGGTAAAAGGTATTAACTTCTCAGCATCAGCACCATAGATCAATGCATTCATATTGCCAGATTCATCATGGATTTTAATGGGTAGTCTACATCTGAATTTTTTGAGGAAGTATTAGACAATCTTTATTTTATAAGAGTTTTCCTTATAACTAAAACATTTAATGTTATTATTTATAACTTTTACCTTGCTTCAACGGAAGAATCTTCTTGGCAACCGCGACATTTGACTGTTGTGTTTGGGGGTACGTTATAGTTTTTGTGGCAATTCCTGCAAGCACTTGACCACAAGGATTTTCTGTCTCTGACAAAGCAGACTTGACCACGGACCCAACCAGTTTTTATCTGCGTTTATAGTTTTTAAGTTGTAAGTACGTGGTTTTTATATTGAATCAGACATAGTCATGGCTCTTAACTGAAAATAATAGCAAATTTGAGAAGAACAACACCAGAACTATGTGGAGTATCCAGAAAAACTAATTCCATATAAAATAGAGTTCATCAAGTCAATCTTGTCTCTTTTTGGGCATAATCATATGATACCATAAAAAATGCCATCAGCAATCTGGGACAACCGCAATATACAAGTCTCATAACAAGGTAACTTCCTAGGGAATTCAATCATCCTTTCACTTTTTAAGCTGAACACATAATCACGACCATTTATCGAAAGGATTTTACATGAAAAGCATATACTGTAACTGTCCAGGGAATTGTTGAAAATAGCATGCACGCTGAGATCCATGTATCATATGCCAACAATGACAGAGCATTCTTGTGTATTGATGGTTTCAAAAAACAAATGCAAACTTGATATTTTTAATTGAAGATGTTGCAGTTTAAAGGTCATAATATATTACAAATAATTGCTTCTAAACCAAGTGGTGCTTCATAATAACTATAGTTATTGGATATATTTCTATGTAGATTTAAGTTTTCAGGACATACGTTTTTTATTGAAGATAATGCTACTTGAACTCCCATGATTTCAGTTTCTTCAGGTGGAGGGAATAAACTGTTTGTGTTCCTGTACATTTCTTCAACCACAAGTCTGCTCACGTCGCTCATGTTCTGCATGTACCTGGAAAGTTTACATATTTTAGTATAACATATTTGAGTAAATGTTCTGCATGTACCTGAAAAGTTTACATATTTTAGTATAACATATTTGAGTAAATATGTATTTTTTAAAATTTTAATTTTGTTCAACCATTGTTTGAGTTCAGCGGTGGCAGGTATGGGTGGATTGCTCAGCAAGCAACTTCCAACTTTTGTAGATAAGGATAATCCTGTTTAAAGAGAATAATTTTCATTAGTGCACAAATACATGAAATAAACACTGTAAATATATCGTTTTGTTTTTAAAATATAAATTGCTTACCGTAGAATGTGCTAACTCTGACCATCATAGCAAGAACGATGTTTCCTGTGGCAACGCTGCTTGACAACTGTGGTCCATTTTCTGCCTCAAACTCATTCCAGAGGGTTAGAAGTATGGGCTTTTTCCTGAAACGTAAATGCGATTATGATTGAACAATAAAAAAATATTTGCCTTCTTTAGTTGGAACTAAACAATATCCAAATATGCTTGTAGTTTTGTATTTCTTCTTACTCTTGATTGATAAGAACTATGTCCCTTGCTGTGGTGTCCCCTAAGTGTTTGGCAGGGAAGGCATGCACAACAACTGCAATGATGTCTATTCCATTTTTGGTTTTATGTCATATACAATTTAGTTAGTTTTATTATCCTTGAATAAATGTAGTGTTAAAGATTATTTATATATTTAAATTAAATGATAAATAAATACTCACTTCGATAGTTCTCGGTGTCTGCAAATTTGTGCAAGTCTTTGAATTGATGAATATCAATCTGGCAAGGCAGTTGTGGAGGTATAGGTTCGGTGAACTCTTCCACAAGAGTATCCATTTGCAATAGCCAATTGTATTTATAATCGCCAACTTGGTACACTGGGTTTTCTGGCCGAACTATTGCACCTGATATATAGTATCTCTTGTAGGGTAGAAGAAGCGATTTAAACTCATTGATGACGGCGTTGTAGGCTACTGAGGAGACTTTAGTTCCCTGCATATTTTTGTGTATAATTGAAATGATGATTTGAATATTTCTTTTTTATTTGTTGTTATTGCAAAATAAATAAAATTTTATTGTACCTGCTCATCTGTGAACAGATATTTACGGTAGAGTACTGTGGAGTCATTTTTGCTTTTGTGGACAGGATGTCTTTCAACAACCTGGATGAGCGCAGTCCAATTTTTTGTGTTGATATTAATTTTGCTTATGGGGAGAGAAATTCTCGACATATTAACCTGTTGAAATTAGGTAAAGAAAAAAAGTTAAAACTTATTATTTGCAATATATAACAATTTTTGAACAGTTTAATAGCACAAGAAAGTACAATATATTACATTGTATTACTTCAGCAGCTTCAAGAACTTCACTGTACACAATGTTTTTTGTGTAATCAATTTTGGTGGGTTCAAAAAATGGTGGTTTTACAAATTTCACTGCTGATGATTCTTTTGCACGCGATAAAGCCACATAAAGTTGTCCGTGGGAGAAAACCGGTTCTTTCAAATAAATACCTACTGATTCTAAAGTTTGTCCCTGTGCCTTATTGATAGTCATGGCAAAACACAAACGAATAGGAAATTGGGTTCTTGTGTAAGCTACAGGAATTTGATCATCGTTTGATGGCTTTAATGGTATTCTATGTATGAAAACATTTTTTCCTTTGAAATCACTGACTGCTATTTCTGCATGGATGATGTTTCTACACAATTTTTTACAAATTAAGCGTGTTCCGTTACAAAGTCCTTCTGTAGGATCTAAATTTCTTAATAAAATGACATGAGCATTAACTTTTAATTGTAGCTTATGTGGAGGCATTCCACCCGGGGTCAAAGAATTTATGATATCTTCATAAAGACCTTTATGAATAGGGTTTACTACCTCATCAAAACTAAGATACTCAACTAACTCGCCAGGAAAATCATTAATCATTCTGTTATTTATCTCATCCACAAAACTGTTTCTAGTAGACAAAATTGCTCTGTTCATTGGAAAACTGGAATGCATACTATTACTATGTTCAATATTTTGGATAGTATTTTGTACCTTGTTACTGAAGTTAGGATATATTGTGTTTATCAATTCCTCGAGAGCTTTTTCTGTATCGTCATGTCTAACTATAAGTGCTGGTGGTAGCCTTATTAAATTATTGTCATAAGTGGGTTCTAAACCATTCCCTATTCTCAACAAAAAATCAGTATACATTGGATCTAGACGTGCTCTCATATTTTGTGTTAGCTTAATTTTCTCTAGTAATGGCCATATATATGAATTAGTTATGCACGCTTCTATTGTATCATGTTTATTTCCTTTACGAACAACCGGTAATATTTGTCTAAAATCGCCGCCAAAAACAACTACTTTACCACCAAAGAGATCGGATGAGTCTAGTACATCTTTAAGCATATCATCAAGCGCTTCTATGGAATTTTTTTTAGCCATGGGGGCCTCATCCCATATAATTAATTTACTTTCACGAATTAAATGAGCTAGATTGCTTTGTTTACTTATTTTACATGATTTGCTTTTGGATATATCTATAGGAATTTTAAATCTTGAGTGAGCTGTTCTGCCGCCAGGCAATATAGATGCTGCAATACCAGACGTAGCAGTTGCTAAGGCTATATACCCTTTGGACCTAATGTCAGCTAACAATGCTCTGTACAAAAAAGTTTTTCCAGTTCCTCCTGGGCCATCGATAAAAAAGGCTCCTGGTTTGCTATCATACACTCTTTGTTGTATAATTTTAAAAGCTTCCTTTTGTTCTTTATTGAGTAACTTTATAGCATTTAAATCTTCTTGGTTAACAATAATACTTCTTTCTGATGCTAGTTCTCTATTATTTTCTTCAATTTCCAAATTTATATCAGATGGTATGAGGTTAAATGAATGAATGCTTCTGCCCATGGATTCTAAAAAGCTATTTATTTGTTGTAAAACTTTTTTTTCTAATATCTAAGCTAGTCAAGTGTGAATGCCTTGAATAATCTTCGGACATTGCCTTTTCGAATTTGGTAAATAAATCCATAGGATTATTTGGGCAAGAGTAAACAAGTAAGTTAGCAAAAAGTCTTCTCATTTCATACGGCATATTGAAAACAGTTGCTTCTTGAAGACAAAGTTCTTGGCTGTTATTATCCTGCAATAAACCTCGTAAAAGTGCTGCTTCACGGTATGTAGCTGCCACTTTGTTGTTAAAAGTCTTTATGTTTTGGTATGATTTAGGTCCTCTAACGTGTAGTAGCAAGAGTTTTAGATAATATCTTTCTCCTTCATTTGGATGTACAGTAACTATTCTAGCAACTGAATCCTTTCCACTTCTTTTTTTCCATTTCTTTTCATCAGGAAGCCAAACAAAATATTCTGAGAATTCTATATATGTTAAATTTAATTCTTGTGCATATGGGTCAGTTTTATTCATATGAAAAAATTCTGTAAGCATTGTTTTATGATTCCTTGGATTATTCACTAACCTTTCTAGCCTATCATTTTTCCTATAACTTATTGTTTGATAGTTTTCTAAATGGACTGGTAAATTTATAACGGCTGGTTTAATTTCACTAATTGGAAATCTAAAAATTCTCCATGCTGCTTCAGGAGGAGAAACCCAACGTGCAGTCCTATACTGTTCTATTTCATCCACTTGTATATTTTGGTTAGCAGTATCTATATGGAATGCTATTCTATCATGACCTTTACAAATGTATTTATATATGTATTTAACAGCCTTTATCGTAGAGCAAATTTCTACATTAATATGACAGTTAAACTTTGCTAGTAAGTATGGATTATATGGTACGACCCATCTACTGTCTAATTTGTTTCCCCTAACTTTCACCCTAACGTTATTATCCAGACGACGGTATTTTGGATATGAATTTTTAGTTTGTACAGTGCGCCCACAAAATTGTTTGGGATAATTGAACTTGCATTTACCCTTGTTGTTCATGCATGAATTAGATGGATTTAGCTCACCACAAGGTCCATGCATCATGTGTTTTTTGACCATGCTATGCAAATGAGGTTGTGTTACTCTGTCAGGTATTTCAGCACTAACTATTTTGTCGTATTCATCAGTTCTGTACATTTTGTCTTTATTAGCAAGAATTAGTAACATATGTGCATGCGGTAGGCCTCTTTTTTGGAATTCTATAACATATGTATATGCAACAACTTCTCCAAAAATAAAGTTTCTTAGAACATCTACTTTTAGTTCTTCAAGCTTAGCACGAACAACTCTAGCAATTAGATCCGGGCGATTTTGGCACTCTTCATTTTCTTCCAAAATTTCTTTAATTTCTGGCCAATTAGGATTGCAAGTCATGGTTAAAAAGATATTTGGTTTACCAAACCTTTGTACTAACGTCATTGCATCTAAGTATCTTTTCTTCATATTTCTAGGTCCACCAATAAAACTGGCTGGTAAAAAAATTCTTTGTCCAACTTTTGATGCATCTGTTTCACCTGTAGCCAAACAATCTTGTATGCCTTGTATAAATTCTTGTCTTATTTCAGTTTGTTGCCTTTTAAAAAAATCTAATCTTTGTGATTCTATCTTAACATACATATCAACTATATATTGTTGAAATAGTCTTCCAAAACTTAGTAAACAAGACTCATCATTTTCTCTTATTTGTAATTTGTAGGCATAGTAATCTCTCATTGAAACAAAATTTCGACCCCCCACAATTTTCATGTTGGCTGAAAGACAAGAATAATAAATAGTTAGAAATTATTTTTTAAAAAACATAAAAAGATGCGGTTATTTATGGTAAGATAGTAAAGGTTCTATTTAGTTTGTTAACTTACCATCCTCTGCATCAATCAATTCTTCAGCAGACTCCATATCAAAAGCCGAAATTTTAGGATGCGAGCCTATGTTTTTAGAAGTATTTTTTGAAATTGTTGTTCTCTAGTTTTTCAATACCTTGATGCCAACCAAGCTCGCCAAATGGAAAAAGCAATGGGTATTGAAGAGGGTCATAACAACCAAAATAGTATTGTATACGATGTGAAATGCCCGTATGAGTATAAATTCGAATGTTTCTTTCAGTTGCTTGTTCATTGTCATCATTTTCAACCCATAGAGCGGCAACTTGAGAAGTTTCTAGCTTATTGAAAACTCTCTGATCAATTTTAGGTATACTTCGCAATACTATTTCACAGTTATCAAAATTTGAAACTTCGCTTAGACTTCTAAACAATTTTGCATATGGGTTATCTTTAAGCACATAAATGATTTTTTCTATTAAAGATTCTGTTAACCTAGGACATGCTTTCATTCTATTGGCAATTTCATTTTCAGTGTCATGAAAATACAGCTGTAAATTTTGAGATGCTTCTAAATCATTTAAAAAGTGGTACATTTGGCCTTGTATCTTGAATGTATAAATTCCATTATTACGTTGTATTAAATTCTTATCACATTTAACACCCAAGGATGTGAATGCAAATTGGTTGTTCACAGTTCTAATACAATTTCGAAATAACTTCGCTTCTTCTGTTGATGAATAAAGAAGTTCTTTCAATATGTTTGGTGTTGGGTTATTTGCTAATCTTATATTACCATTTGAACAACAAAAATTATTTGTTTCATGGGGAAACTTCAAGGCATTACAATACTGACAATTTTTTTTTTAGACAAAATTGAAGGTTGACTTTGGATGTTATCTAAAATCTGACGATAGTTTACGTCGGAAGAGGACACATTCTGTAAAGCAGATGGCTAATTAAGCTTTTTATTTCTCCATTTTTCAATAGCAATTTGTCTGTATTTTTTTTTTTTTTTTGGGATTAGGTTTTCTGAATGCATATATGTATAGGAATTAATTGAGGTTTCCCCGCAAGCTTTTGTTTGATGGTTAGACAACACAATTACATTTTCTAATGTTGAATGTTTTCTTTTATTTTTCTTAGTTTTCCATCTTTTAATTGCAATTTCTCTACTTCTCTTCTTATTAGGTGAGGGTGAATTAAGGTCGTCGCTGGTTTTTCCAAAC